TTTGAAGACAGAATTGTCAGTAGAGGACTGTGGCCTCCCAGATCCCCAGATCTCAGTATTTCTGATTATTATCTTTGGGGCAACCTGAAGCAAAAAGTCTACAAAAATAATCCCCGCAGCATTGATAGTCTTCAAAATGAAATTACACGCGTAATTCATTCAATTACCGTCGACGAACTGCAGAGAGTGTCGCGTAATTTATTTGTGAGATGCGCGGCATGTTTGCAAGCAGAAGGAGGTCACTTTCAGCACCTGTTATAAACCACGGTAAGTTATCTTTTTACTGTATTCTTATAAATGTGTGCATGTAGAGCAACTGATGGACGGAGACTCAGCGACACCACTACACTCACGCTATCGGGGAACGGCACTGCAGTCGCGGGGAGGAGTTGCATCCGTTCTGCGGTGGTATGACTCACGGCAAATTGCAGCCGCGGCGCGCACTTGATTGTACGCACTGTATAAACAGTTATCTAAATAGCCTTAAATATTTGTTTTGTAAAATATATATTAGACAAACAGTGCAGATACTTAATTTCATTAGTCTTGTTATATTCACGATAACTGTGTAACATACATGTTAAATACAGTATTCCTTCTGAGTACAGAGAACTCATGTGGACTCCTTACATTATTGTTTTTGCTTATAAATGAACTATTATGAGCTAAACATTGCCATGATTCGGCATCATCTGAAGATAATGACCGCTCTATCTTGTTAAGGAAATCGGATGAGTTTCCGTTGGATATATATAAATAGCTTATATCACAAAAGTCATCAGTCAGGCGTTTGTGTGTGTTCTATCCATGAATTAAATTAAATTAACGCATTCAGAAGATTGTGTCTGTCCATCCGCCTGTTTCATCTCAAGATTTTGATGGAAATTATTACTCCGGATTACAAATGGTCGGACAAATTTAATTTTCGTTGCCTTTTGTACATACGTGTAACTACCATCGTAAATGCAACACTTATTTTCGTCTTTCACAGTAGTGTATTACAACATATTTCGGCCTCGCTCGGCCATCATCAGGTGAAGCCGAAACATATTGCAGTAAGATACAATATGGTAGAAGTAAAGTCCCTGTGCTTAACTAATTAAGCACTATGCCATGAAGGGATATGGGGGAATGGATGTATAGATCCACATTTTCTTGACCTCGGCACTAGCTGGAGATGAGTGGTCAGCTTCAAGCCCCTGCCGCCTTACCCCCAAAGAAAGAACCCCCAGTACCCACTGATAGGAGGTTGGGTGGACCACAGAGCCGGTCTGGACGACGTGAAGAAGAGGAAATTCTTCACACCACTGGGATTTGAACTCCAAACTCCTCGGTCGTCCAACCCATAGCTATATCTATACAGACTACGCTATCCCGGCTCCTAATTTAAATCCAAATTTATTAATTTAAAAAAATTAAATT